AAGTTTGTACGATGGGGGTCATTAAAGAGACGGGCTGCGTCAACATTGATATCTATGGCCAAGACAGGCTGAGTAGGATACAACAGAAGCACGGAGAGACTCCAGGAAATATATATGGCTCTTTTCGTCTATGCAGACGGTCAATTTAGCTTAGCTTAAGATGGTCTCAAGGTTTTCTTCATGCAGCTTCTTTCATGGCTAATACTTCCTATGTTTGAAGCGCAGATTCTGTCGCAGTGCTTGCATGTCAGTGTCGTAGATCAAAGCTCTGTATTTCCGCTGTTTTCCTTTCGTCATTGGCGCTTCTCAGCCTGGTTGTTTCTAAAGCTGTTCCCTAGCATTATAGTTCGTTCCTTTATCATTTTCCTCCATGTTTTCCTGTCTTCAGCTACTTCTTCCCAGATGCTAACATCTACTCCAAGCTTAGATAAGCTGTTTTTGCAGGTGTCTTTGTACCTCAATTTTGGTCTTCCTCTTGGTCTCTTTCCCTGGGCAAGTTCTCCATAGAGAAGTTGCTTCGGAATCTGGTTGTCGTCCATTCTCTTGACATAGCCCAGCCACCGCAATCTTCTTAAACACAGGATAGTTGTCACGCTCTGGAGGTTTGGGCGTGCCAACACTTCAACATTTGTAACCTTGTCACGCCACGAAATGCCTAAGATCTTGCGGCAGCATCTGAGAGGGAAAATGTCGAGGCGCTTTTCTTGTCTACTGTACAAGGTCCATGTTTCAGATCCATAAAGGAGTGTGCTGAGGACACATGCTTCGTAAATTTTGATCTTTGTTTTGATGGTTAATCTTTTGTTTTCCCATGCTCGTTTTGTCAGCCTTCCAAAAGTTGTTGCTGCTTTCCCTATCCTGGTGTTGATCTCATAATCAAGTGATGTAGTAGAGCTGATGGTAGACCCCAGGTAACAGAACTTGTCCATTGTCCCAAGTTCCTTGTCGTTCAGCCATATATGGCTCTGCTCTGCACCTTCGTGGGTAAGGATGACTGTTTTCTTAACACTGATGACCAAACTAAAGACCTTGCATGCTGTTGATAGGCAGTCCATCATTGTTTGTAGGGTTGATTCACTATGAGCAACAAGAGCAGCATCATCGGTGAAGAGAAGGTCTCGTACTGTTGTTTTGTTGATTTTGGTCTTGGCCTTGAGTCGAGCAAGATTGAAGAGCGACCCATCAGTTCTCCAGTGGAGGAAGACATCCCCTGGTGACTCTTTAAATGCATGTTGCAGTAAGACAGAAAAATAAGTGCTAAAAAGGGTTGGTGCTAAGACACAACCTTGCTTTACTCCGCTATTGATGTTGAAACTGTTTGATGTTGAACCGTCAAACTGAATGGTGGCCTTCTTATCTTCGTGGAATGAGATGATGAGCTGTAGCAGTATTGGGGGACAACCAATTTTTCCAAGCACCATGTACAGTCCTGATCTACTGACTGTATCAAAAGCCTTTGTCAGATCGACGAATGCAGTATGTAATGGAAGTTGCTGCTCCCTGCATTTTTCTTGTAGCTGACGAATAGAAAAGATCATGTCGAGGAAACACTCGAGGAAATACGCTTTGCAATAATAGAATTAGCCTATATCAAAATTGTTGGGTTTTTTGGTCAACTGCAAAGAGGCAAATCACTTCACCACTGCCATCGAGTTGACAATTGTTGACGAAGCCCAGCAGGTTCTGAGCTTGAGCATTTCTTTTTAGAAAAAAAAAAGTTGGAAGTTTCATTTATTCGTGTGCGGTCCGATTTAGAGAGAGAGGGTGTGTGTGTGTGTGTGTGTGTGTGAGAGAGAGAGAGAGAGAGAGAGACAGAGAGAGACAGACAGACAGACAGACAGACGGACGGACAGACAGACAGAGAGACAGACAGACAGAGATGCAGAGGCAGAGACTGAAATAGATAGAGATAGAGGCAGAGACAGACAGAGAGAAGAACGAAACGCTCATTCTTTAACCTAAACAACAATAACACAATAGACGTACAGTTTTAAGTTTTTCTTGAATCAAAATAATGTAAATACTTTTCAAATTAAATCACTGCCATTGAAATGTGAAGGAAATACCACTTTTATTCGGCGAAAAATAATAGAATGTTCTTATTCTTTCGCAATCTGAGATCTTCTTACTCCCATGACTGGTTTATAATCCTCTTGAACATCCTGGAACAGTCATCTAGAAAGGTACAAAGAATTTCATTAAATTAACCTTTAGAGATTGTGATTTTTGCGAAACACCCTCCTTTAAATTGGTGTAAAGGAACTGTTATAATTATAATCTTCTTAAATATCCCGGAACAGTCTCGTGCAAAGCGGGGAAGAGGCTAATCTATTGATCTTTTCAGACGTTTTCCTATGGGACCAATGTTCATATTGGTATAAATGAAAAGGCCAGCTCTGTAGCAAATTTCCCCTTAACGTATTCTAGTTAGAATAAGACGCAATTTCATCGTGAGTCCTGCATGAACTTGGCATTCTGAACAAACAAACAAAACAAAGTTCTGAAAGATTAAAGAAAAATGTCTTTTTTTTACGGTGAACATTATAGAGAAGCCTTTTCGCACTCTAAAAATTAAAGACTCAATCTAGCCTATGGCTCTATGAATCTGCCGACGACTGAGCCAAGGTCAGGATTTTGTGAGGGAAAATCCAAACGGCATTTCACGCACGGTTTGAACGGGGTTTGAATTGCTTCATTCAATGAAATGGTTGGCTGGGAATTTAAGAAGGAATTAGTCTAGAGACGAAGAAAAGCCATGTATAGACAGGAAACCTGAACTGTGTGAATCAGTTTCTGTATCAAGCCGAACGGCGGTTGGGGTGAGGTCATGAAAGGGAGAAAAAGGAGAGAACTTGATTGCAAAATTAAGTTTACATTTTGAAGCAGAATGGTGTCATCTATTTGCGTGGGCTGTTTGCTTCAAATCTTATGGCATTTCCCAGACTGCGAGTTTATTTATTTTGTTTTTATTTTTGCCTTATTGAAAGCGGAATAATTTAAAAAACCAATCCCATATCGTTCTATAACTAATAAGATCATTCATTTTACTTTTCCATTCAAACATAACATTGTCACAAAACTGAAGTTTAAGGGGGGAGGGGGGGTTAAAAGAGATATTATGTGCCACGCAACGCTACCATCATCAAAACAACAATGAAGTAATGATTATACTTCTGATGGTAGAAATAATAACTGTTAATAACCATTCAAAAAAGTATAATAGACTACTACCGATGATGATAATAATAAAAATTGTAATAATAATATAATAATAATAATAATAATGTAATAATAATATAATAATAATAATAATAATAATAATAATAATAATAATAATAATAATAATAATAATAATAATAATAATAATAATAATAATGATGATGATGATGATGATGATGATGATGATGATGATGATGATGATGATGATGATGATGATGATGATGATGATGATGATGATGATGATGATGATGATGATGATGATGATGATGATGATGAAACAGGATCACCAGCTGCTACTACACTCAATATAATACTATCGTCTCCATTTGTTAATTGTTTCCCTAGCTCTGACTGTTTGATTCGGTGATGTTGCCACTAATAAATGTTTCCTGTCAGCATCTTTTGTGTTGGACTCAGTCCAGGCAAGCAGAACTTCTTCATGAGATCAGTTTCTTGGTTTGGTAGAGCGTGTCAAATAACTTTTAGTTTAATTTAATATTTTATTTCCTGATATAAATATAATATCTTCTCTTACAATCTGGTCTTATTATTTTTTATCAGCAAAAACCAAAATAGAGCAAACCCCGAAAAAGGTATGTTTCAGCTGCTTCAATTCTTTCAACGTCATTTTTTACTTGAAAAAAATCCATCCAGTCATTAATCTGTCTATCAATCTATCTATCTATCTATCTATATGTCTATCTGTCTATCCATATGTCTATCTATATCTTTATCTGTTTATCTATCTATCTATCTATCTATCTATGTATCTATATATTATATATATATCTATTTATCTATATATCTACCTCTAACCTCCCCCTTACCATCTCTTTCCATCTCTCTCTCTCTCTCTCTCTCTCTCTCTCTCTCTCTCTCTCTCTCTCTCTCTCTCTCTCTCTCTCTCTCTCTTTGTTTATGTATGCATTATGAGCAGTCATTGTCCTCAATGTATTTGATGTTGGTTACATAACACTTATATATCACCAGCAAAGGTGAATGAATACCTGGCTCCATTAAGGGCTCACAAAAGTATTTTCTCTGGGAACCCAGCAGAGCCTGAAAAAAGTAACAAAGAGAATTTTGCAGGTCTCATAATATTATTAGGAAAATCAGCTCAAACCACAGGGAGCGGAACAGAGACAGCTTTCAGAGATCTCTTACAATGTATAAAGTTCATAACGAGAGCTCGTTTACGAAAGTGCCATGTGAATGTGTGTTTTTGAAAATCGGGGCACGTTTGCATATTTCGTGCTCGTCTGACTGCTTATTATATTTGAGTTCCTATCACGATGTTGTCGTGTTTTATTATTGTAAGCATTCTTGGATGAAGAGAGACAAGCAGAAAAATTCGTTCTTCACGAAGCTGGAGTTAACCTTATTACTCCCCTTGATATATGTGTTATGTATTTTTTTAAAGGCCTTCAATAACAAAATGCTTTAACAAGCTCTTGTTAATCAATATAAACTTTTATAATTATTTTGACTTCGGAATAGCAAATTTTATTTTGGGTTTAGTATAGCACATTCTTTTGTGTTTTTCCAATTGTTTAAACCATAACAGCACAAAAAGAACTAATCATTTCTAATTACAACCTCTTTGTCTTATCTTTCATTTAGACATTGGATGCAGACCATGTCGATACCTGATGGCAGTATAACAAATTCATAATAAAGTATGCATTTCTGAAAAGAATCTAATAAATAGGGACAAAAATACCCCCCCCCCCTAGTAAAGAAAAAACAACAACATTCAAACACATTCATTATTAAAGGCGTACCTCATCCAGAACGGAGTATTTAATGTCCGTCTGAGCAGCTAGGTCATCCAGTGACGTCACAGCCATTCCCATCCTGGAGACGGTGAGAAAAGCGGCCAGGTTGGCGGTGAAAGTGGACATCATGATGACGGTGAAGAACCAGAAGCCGCCGATGAGCAGACGGCCGGACAGACTACGAGGGGCGTCGCCACCTCCTGGGGGACGGAGAAGACAGAGAATGGACAAAGAATGGAGAGATTCTACACTGCCCAAAATCGCTTCATCCTGGGACAGAGAAAAGACAGAGAAAGTGGAGATTCTACACGACCCAAAATCGTTTCATCTTGGGCCAGAGAAAGGAGAGAGTCTACCTAAAGTCACTTCTTCTGCTGACAGAGAATAGAGACATTTTACATAAAATCACTCACTTTCCTACCAATTGCCTTTCTATGTGTGTAAGGAATGTCCAACTCCTTCTTTATATTATGCTGTATTTTCTTGACCCCCCCCCCCCCCCCGCTTCACAACCTTTACTTGACACCTTTTCTGAAATGAGATTGTGAGGTGAATTTCTTCCTAAAACATTGAGAATTTTGCAAGAATTACTTTTCTTCACCCCCCTCCCCTTTTGCGATGAAGTTTCTTTATAAACCCATGTGCCTACCACTTATATGGGCTATACAATCATTTGAGTGATCTATTGGTACAGGCAGCAACTCATGTATAACTACTTAATTAAGTGGTGAAATTAGTGCTCTTAGCCTCTTAATCAGCAAAGACATAGTTTCTTAAAATTTATGCTTTAATTAAAATTTCATATCATGTGCACCATACCTGCCATTGTAAGAGCTCCAATGACGAACCAGATGCTCTCACCGAGCGTATAAACTGTCTCAACTGGTGTTGCTGTCGTTGTTGCACTGACGTCGTGATGCTCTGCCTTGTTGTTGTTGTTGATGTTGCTGCTATTGTTGCTGTTGTTGCTGTTGTTGATGCTGTTGCCGTGCTCTGTGTGGTTGCTGCTGCTGTTGTTAAGGATGGCCGGGATGCTGTCAGGAAAAGACGTAATAAATTATGACAAGGAAAGACAAGATATAAGACAAGAAAAATAGTTTAGCATTATGGCATTAATACTCGTACTAATGCAAATGCTTTACTGACACATAACTATATTTCTGACAATTAAAGAGATGATATGTTTCAACTCGGTCTCAATGTGTAAGATCAATCCTAGAGAGACAAAAATACTTAGCACGATATCTTTTCAACTCGTGAATCAAAGTCACTGTTTTGCTTGCCGATGAGGAAACCATCCATTTCACCAGACTAAAAACATGTTTGTTCTTATAGAATGGAACAAGACTATGCCTACATTAAATGGGATGAGAAAAGATAGAATAATAAGAAAAATGATAGTCTACTATTAGGAAATGCATTTTTTTTGTGATGAGGTATGGTAATATTATGAGACACCGACACCTTTTTGCTTCAACTAACATTTTGTCTCCACTGACCAGGTATTCATATATGAGTTTATAATGTTATAAAACGTTAACGCTTCCAATGTGAGATGTTTCATTTCCGCATTAACTCACTCATCTGTGGTAGTGGTCGTGGTAGAGGTACGGTCGTCGACACTGCGATGCTCAGTTCCCACGCTTGATGCCACAGAGCCGTTGGAGACGGTGAACATAGTCAAAGGGACAGAAGTATTCGTAGATCGAAGGGTAGGTTTTTCTGAATACTGTCCCTTCCTGTAGCCAGGGGAAGTAAATTTCTCGAATGCGTACAGAAGAAGGCTTGTAGCCACCACGACTGCACCCAAACAACACCAGGCCTAGAAAAAGAGGATCAAGGACTTTTCGAATCTAAGACAGATATAATATTCTTTCAGAAATGAATTCACTCGGTGGGTAGCGACAATTGACACTGACCACACGTCTTAGCCTCCTAAATGCAACTGTAGATCACTTTATAAAATGTTAATGATTTTTTTTAAACCATAAAAGGCTCAGGTAGGCCTGACGTATTCAACTCAAGTTTGATAAAGCTCGCCTATCATTATATCTAATCAAGTAAGTGTTAGGAATCTCCCCCTGCTTCTGTACAGCGTAATGCTATTAAAAATGTGAGGAATTAGAATTTGTACAAAAGAATGTACAACAAATATGATATCAAAACTGTTTACTACCATCCACTCTCTTGACAGCCTGCATTATTTAATCCTTGAAGGCGAGGTTTGCTTTTCGTGCCGTTTTTGGTCGGAAAATTTCTAAAGGAAGCATGCGGATTTATTATGATGAAGGACGTTGTTACAAAGATAAAAGACTTGACTTCTTGCCTTCTGGCAAAGTTATCAACCATTATTACACACTCGCTGAGACACTCGTTTGAGCGAAACAGTTGAAATTCCAACATGCGTTTATCCAATGCTTTTGCTCCCCCTCCCCTCTTTATTCAAATGACTTTGCTTAAGCCTGAAGAAATTAAAAAGTTAAACACTACTTTACGAAGAAAGACAAACTTGTATGGCACTTGCGTGAACCATGACCACAGAACCCTTATCCAGCAAAGGTGGCGTCACGGTTCTATGCCGGGGTTCGAGAGGTAAGATGAAAAAGGTAATAATCAGCATTGTGTTTCCTTAACAGACAGAGGACCTACATGGTCTTATAACATCTGGCAGCGTGAATTTTACCTCGCTAATAAGATAAAACAATTAGACAAATATGTATCGCATTCTCTTATTGTCAAACAATCCCAAATGTAGTTTCCGAAAATAAATTGTAATCACAACACTGTTGTTATGAAACATCAGCAATCTGAAAAGCTGTAAAGATAAACAACAATGAATAGTGTCACTCACGAAGGTGGTGAAGACGTTAGCGTAGTAGAACAAATTTATCTCGGCCGCCTGTCTCTTCATGAGGATCTGTATGCCTGCAAAGTCGTAGTAAGGTAAACTGAAATCCACAACTCTGTCCCTCTCCGCAGTCACAGTTAACGCCCCTAGCACCACATCTGCTTCCTGTGAAAAGTGATGGGGGAAGAGATAAATGTATATCCATGTTATCCTTTTTTTTTAAAAACATGTTAAAATTATTTCCTTGAATTTGAATTGTTAGGGGCAGTGGGGGTGGGGTGGGGAAAGGTGACCCCTTGATTGCCATCTTGTTGAAAGCAGTTTTTAATTTAGAATTGTTGGCGGTCACTTTCGTGTGGCCTATACCTTCTATTTGTTTTCTGTGTTTGTCTAAAATAGTAGTCAGATCGTGGAGAAATAAAGGCTTCATCGTACCCATACTGGCATTTCGTTATCGATACTATAAAGGAAAAATGTGCTTAAACGTTTCTTGCTCCTGGTATTATCAAAATCTATGATGTTGGTTCTATTTGTAGTGGTGACGTTGTTTGTGGTGTTAGTCGTGGTGACGATGATGATGATGATGATGTAGCGAATATGGTTCATGTTTTAGGCCCTGTTGTTGTGTTCGATGGACTTCGTAAAGGATATACATTTTGCCCTGTGTATGATTTGAAGTAGTTTTATTTGCAATATAAATGGTTTATTGTCGTTGTTTTTGTTGTTGCTGCACATACTAATGATGATGGTATTTTACTCAGCTGCTGCTATTTCTCTGTTTGAAGTTTGAGATTGCGTTGCAAACAAAACAAGAATAAATGTTATATTTTTTTTAAAACATGAATAAGACTACTTTTCTTCACCCACCCCTCTGACGACATTGCCGATGCAGCCCGTCCATTCGCCATTTTTCAAGACACCATAACCACCTCTGTCACACTCTCGCACGGTGTACGAGAATCCCACGCGTCGCGAGATCTCGTCCAACACGTCCATACTGTAGCCATAGTAACGCGGGACTCCACCGCCACTGTCATTCCGAAACACAAACGGCGGCTCCTGAAAAAAAAAGAATGGTTAACTAGTACTTGAGGAAATACATTCCTTTAAGGTTTGCCTTGAAAAGCATGTTGTTAGAGAAATAATGATAAGAGCACGATTTGACAATGAGGTGTTTAAGGCTATTCAATGTTTTACAAGCTACAACCTTACTCTGTAATCTCTTAAGTCATTGAGAATTAGATTGAAGTTCATTTTGAGGTTTAAAAGAAAAATTAATATAATTGAACAGAAGGCACCTGGAAACTGTCGAATGTGTGTGTGAGGGAGCGTGATTGTTTTGTATGGACTTGGACATGCACGTGTGTTTTATGGTGTCTGCAAGGTAAATGTGTGTGTGTATGTGTTTGTGTGTGTGTGTGCATGTGCGTGTGTGTGTATGTGTATTACATTTGGTCGTGTGTCTGAACGTGTGCAGAGTATAAAAGATATTGTAACATTTGGTAGTAAAATTATATTTCTTGACCTCGATGTATTAAAAATGTTTAAAAACGATAGTCATTCCTTGACCTTTGTTTACTGTTCTCGTTGAAGTTTAAGTATGACGTCACAATCTCTTCCAGAAGAAGATGTAAATTAGAATCGGGGCGTTCATTCTTTCGACACGAAACCCGATTGATTTTTCTAAACGGCAAAAATATGTTGTAGTCCAAAATAAAAGAAGACAGACCCCCCCCCCCCCCCAACTCCCTTCCTCAAAACAATAATCAATTTATATTAGTATGCGTGTGTGTGTGTGTGTGTGTGTGTGTGTGTGTGTGTGTGTGTGTGTGTGTGTGTACAGATAGATAGAGAGATAGAGAGATAGATAGAAAGATAGATAGATAGACAGACAGACAGACAGACAGACAGAAAGACAGACAGACAGACAGACAGACAGACAGACAGACAGACAAACAGACAGACAGACAGCCAGATAGACAGATAGATAGATAGATAGATAGATAGATAGATAGATAGATAGATAGATAGATAGATAAATGAAAATAGACTAACAGTTTGGTTTTTTTAAAATACAGGCAGGTGCTTTAATGAGCTTGAGCGACAAACTGAATAGGTGTGGGAAAAACGTCTTCCGCAAATGATAGCCTACTGAGTGACACGCTCACAGTTAGCTGTCCAGCATGATTACATTTTCTCTTGCATTATTCATAAACCGTTCATCAAGTTCCACTTCATAACCCCTCTTTAAGCATGAATACATCGATAGCATTTCCGCTGCCAGGATACGTAACAAGAAACTATTGTGGAATATTTTAACTGCTAAAAAAAAAAGTACAATCTGAATTTTTTTTTAAAACGCGTGACAAAGGAAGTAGAAACTTTACTTTTCTGAACTCATTAACCTGTGCCATTCTATTTCAATCGATATCAATCTATCTGGTTTTTTAATATTAAAAAGTCTTTAAGAAATACCAAGCAAAAATATTATAATGTGGTTTGATTTCACATTAAACTTGTATCACCTTCTCTCACCTCTAATCTTGCAGGTTTTATAACACAATTCAAAACGTCACCCATTAAATGCGTCTCGAAATTCATTTTACTTTAGGCCAATATCAGCAAATACGGCAACATTTGCAGTGTCCTCAAATCAAGCCAATGTTTAGAACACTTTCGATCAACTGATTAATTCATCAATTCACTTGTTGGTAGATTATATATCTATTTATTTACCCATATATTGTTTGCCTTTGCGGAAGAGAAAAGAAAGGCCTGCATCACCTAAACTAACAACAAAAGGAAAAGAATACAATGAACGGGAGCACCCATGCATGACTGAGAGGTGTCGAGTCTCTCTCACACTAACCACCTTGCTCAAAGTGTGGCGTTCCGAGAAACCTTTCATTACCGGCACCTCGTGTGCAGCGATTGGGCTGTGAATTGAGGAGATTGATTATACTTGCGCCCTTTCGTGATCAAGAGTGTTGCTCAAACAGGTTAATAACTTACTTGATTAGTATAGATATTGGATATGTTTTTTAAAAAGGGGTTGGGTGCAGTGCAAATTATATTATATTGACAGGTTCGCTTTGACCTACCTGTGTTTGCATTAGTGAAAAGTGTTAACAATAATACACATTGTTTGTGCTCATTTCTGTAAGGAAACTAGAACAATACGGCTCTTGCCTCATGGGCTATGTATTGCAAAAATGTTGCTGTTTTATTGAGATTGGAGTGCGTGTCACGAGGTAATTATACACCAAGCCTCTTTTGAAGTGTGGACATAATTATTGAGTACTTTCAATAAAAGTGTTCTTTAAGAAACTTGTAAAAGTGTACAAATCAATTTTTAAAAGAAAATTAAATCGAGCTATGTCCTTTCTATTCATCAAAAAGTTTGCACAGTGCTGTTAACTTTTTAAAAACATAGAATCAAATATGAAGCATCGTGGTGAATTCAGGCGCTCGTCAAGACAATGAAATCGAAAATACCAGCATTTTCTGGCCGATTTGGTAATTTTTATCGAATTGTTGCTTTTTGGGCTCAGCACCTTTTAGGTCCATTTAAAACCTGTACTTTTTTAAAGTTGATTAAAGGCACCAAAAAATGTAACTGTTCAGTTTTCAAGGATTCTCAAACTATGGAAGTCACCAAAAATTGCCGGCAATTGTTTCGCCAATTTTACCTCAGAAACCAGGCGACCCCATCTCCTTAAATCGCAAATATCTCAACTGCTACCCAAGATAGATGGGTATTTTTCATCGAAAGATAGACAATGAACGAGCTAGCTTTAAATTGATACCAATAACTCCACATTGCCAAAAACTGACAAGCGCCTGATTTAACGGCGTTGTGACACAAATGTTCTTTTTAAAGAAATTCATTAACATAATCTGCCTATGGCAAAAACTATAACAACAAAGAGTAGAATTTTGCAAGCTGTTTGTCTTCGTTGAACGTAGTATTTTTCTTTCAACCCGTATGAAAGCTTTCCGGTTTTTTGTTTGTTTGTTGGGGTTGTTGGGTTTTTTTGTTTTGTTTTGTTGTTGTTGGGGTTTTTTTTGGGGGGGTTGTATAGTGAAAGATTGCGTGACATGGTGGGCTTACTGGGGGTTTTATTTCTATTGCTTACAAAATCAATAACTCCAACAGATGACATTCAGTTGCCACACACACACACACACCAATTTTGAGGTGGAGGGGGTATCTGAGCGGAGGATTTTTCCGGGGGGGGGGGGGAGGGGAGGCTGCCTGAGAGCATCAAATGAACTGCGGCCTCTAATTTTATCGTTATTGTTGTGGTTCTACGGCTGACTGTCAGTGCAAGTGGGATTTGTGCCTAGGGTCATAATAATAAACATCAATATGATATGAATATCCCTTTTCGGTTTAATCCAAGCAGCTTTGAACATGCACTGATTAGCAAGCACTAAGATCTCTTTAAAGTGTAATAGAACACCAATGACTTAGTTCTGGAGTTCGTTATAACGATGTAATTATAGCCGTCAAAACCTACACTTTTACATCTCATACACGGTCATGAAAAAAGTGACACAGTCATATCCTCAGGCAATATGAATGCTATCATGGTTTAAATTTTGAAGCCTGAAAAGTGTGGGGTTTTTTTTGTTTTTTTAATTAAAAAACCACAAAAAGGTCGGAATCACAAGAATGATATATCAGAGACGTTTACATAGATTATCCTTTGTACATACCACAACGACAACGACAGTGAGCCTGGAGTCTATGAAGTCGGCGGGGTAGGCGAGCTCCGACATGTCAAGTCCCAAATCCTTGGACCAGTTGCCAATCTGTGGACACAGGAACAAGCGCTTTACTCTAAAGTATCGAATAAGCGCCCCCCCCCCCCCCCCACCCTTTCAAGCTGATTAATTTCCAGTTTTTTGCGCACCCACACCCCCTCCCCGGCTATTATTTCCATTCCCCCCGTTAATTCGTCGCTTTTAAGGACAAGCGGGCTAACCCAGATTTCGGGGGTTTCCAGAAATCTTGACATGCACCAAAAATGGGCATTGCCCTACGCCCCTACCTATATGAAAAGTTTAGTTTCATTAGTGTGCATATGTGCTTGATTGTAGAGAAAACTCGGCTTGTCTTTATAAGAAACTGAACAAGGGGCAAAAACTTTATCTTTGATTTTCTCCAAAAAAAAGCATTTTTCGGGATAGCCCCCTTGTGTTTAAAAGCCACCAATTATTTCCCAGCTTGCCACGACAGACGATTATGTGAAACATTATATCTTGAATCTAGATATTTGAATGAAACTTCTTTTTCTTTTGTAAATGGCAAATTACCCTCATTATTAGTACCGATACCGGGTTGGCTAACTTAATTTTCTGTGGATTTTTAAAACTTTTGTACATTGATTTATATGTTTTAATGTAACTGGTTTGTTATTAAATTAAATGGGAAAAGTTGTGACTTACTAAAATCACTAAAATTTCATGATTTCTTGTTATTTTATTCACTGAAGGAGAAATAAAACAGATTTGTTCCTATCTGGGGTATGAGGTTGAATGTGCCCCCCCTCCCTTTTTTCCACCCCCTTCCTCCCCCTGTTTATCAATTTTGGACCCCTTGTCCAACCCTCCCGTTTATTCCTACCCTTCTTTTTATTCGATACCTTAGAGTATGGCGTGTAAAAATGGAAAACAGTGGTTTGTTTTCCTTTGTTTGTTTTTTGTTTCGTTGTTGTTATTGTTGTTGTTGTTTTGGTGAGGTTGTTTTTGTTTTTCTTTTTATGTAGGTTTTTTTGTTGTTTGTGTTTGTTTCTGTTTGCTTTCTGTTTTGTTATGTTTTTGTTTTGTTTTGATTTGTTTTGTTTGTTTGTTTTTGGTTGGGTTTTTTGTTTGTTTGTTTGTTTGTTTGGGGTTTAACGGGGTTGTCATTGGAGAGCATACTTGTAGAAGACATTTAACTCCAGCTTAAAAACAGTGCCCTACATCATAGCTAACATCAAAGATGTACCAGAACGTCAGTTTGAAAAGCAATACATCCATGGTTCATATAACAAATCTTCTTATGTCGTGCTATAAAGAGGGTTGTTTTGTTCTGTTCCTTGTGAAATTTAAGCCAATGTGTTTGTTTTAAATTAATCAATAAATAATTGCAATTGAAAAAAAAAATGTTTTGCGAAAAATGGATCCCTCTGCATCCTTTATCTAAGTCTAAGTAAGTACAGGCCACACTATGCATGAGCCTCATCCTTCTTACTGTAAAGGTGTAGTCAATAACAGAATAAAGAACGTGCTGTCTGTGGTGTTGAGTTCATGCGCTTTGCTGTCGCACGCAGTTGTAGACCTGAGTTCGAATACCGTGAAGAGATACGTTTTATCGAGTATCTTTGTCTTTCTGAAGGGACGACGTGCCCCTTTGGCTTGGGTTCATTCTAACAGGCAGTGGTCAAAGCTTGCATCCTAAATGGTCAAAATTGTTTTGATGGGGGCGCAAAATATCTGCATTAAGTAAGAATAAACACAAACAATTTTTGTTTTTCCGGAAACGAACAACGATTTTTTTTCAGGACCTAGATCAAATCAACAATATTAAGTTTCAATATCAAATAAAGCACTACAAACTACAAACGAAACACGCATCATGTTACCAACACAATAAACTGCACACACCAACGTACATATCTCTGCCCATTAGGCAAAAGTCGGTGCAGATCAAAGATAATCGAATCCTTGGCGCTGGCATCATCAGACTGATATCTGAACACATCGAATTCCTGGCCTGGTATCTGAAGAAGATAAACAGCAACAAAGAAAATTAGAGAAAAAGATACCCAAAACAAAAGTATCAGTAAACGACTGGATCTCTATAATGATATGTTCCTGTTGTGAGTAAATTATGATTTAGCCCCGCACACTGCCTTAAAAACACCGAGATCCTGTTATGGTGTCTCAGAATCGTATTTCACTTTCAGTTTGCGAAACCGTTACTTTAGATTGTCCAAAAATGTTTGCTCGTAGTTCAAATGAGACTCAAGAGAGTAGAAATCGCTGTTTACAAACCCATTAAAGTTATTATGTTATTTTATATTTTCCAAAAAAGAGGGGCTTGCTTAAACTTTGGCCTGTTCCCCGTCTTGTTTCTTTATCGACTCTTCCACAACATTTGTGCACTTATGAATATGGGACTTTGTCTAATTGAAATGTGTGGCCTTTTAAGCCTGTCTAAGATTATTTTACTAAAAGGGGGAACGATTATAGTGCCAGAGAAATTCTACATGATATTGTGGTATTACCTTTTTTACTACAGCAAAGCTAAACTACCCCTAGGCGTTCAAGCAAAGGTCTGCTATCATGACAGCTGGCCGTTTCTAGCCTAGTCGGATCTGAATACTGCCTAATAGAATAACAAATACGATTAGTACAGGGCACTTATCTAGTACAGCGCATTAGGAAATTGGCATATACCAAAATAAATTTTGTCAGAAGAGTCTCAAACACAAAGCAGATCAAACAAAAAAGCGATAGAGGTCGAAAGAGTGCACAGCACATTCTAAAACACTGACCTGTCCAAGTCCTTGTTGGAAGATCTCCTGACATTCGGAGCAGTTTACTGCACAGTTTTCTTGACACGCAGATGGAAACCATTCACCTTTTTTTCCTTTAGTGTATATATTTATTCCTGAGTGGACGTAGCTGAGAATCTTCTCTGCGGTGAAGACAAGTCGATTCTAAGGACAAAGGAGAGATAAAGGGTGTTATAAAGGAGAATGCTGAGGTTTGTTTAAAACACAAACACATACACACTAACACACGTGCACACACACACACACACACACACACACACGCACACACACACACACACACACACACACACACACACATGTTAGCTAATAAAAACGCAACTATCTTACTTTAGGCTTATCGCGTTCTGTCAGTAGCACAGGCTTGATGACGTCACAAAACATGTCCAGCGAGTCATTGCAATTGACGCTGTTGTCATCAGTTGAGTAGAGCAACCACCGGAACCTGGTCGGTGGAAGACGTAGCAGTGACACCTGAGAGAGGGGAGGAGAACTTTGGAAAATGCATACATTTAACATCAATTGACTTCCATCTGTCTTAAGACTTTTTTTGCTGAACCTACAAAATGCAGGTGTTTGGAGAGCGCCATTGTTATGTTATACTTTTTAAAACTTTCCCTTTGTCACGGTGTTTCTGTATATCTGTCTTTCTTTTTCCCATACCTAAATGACCATTATTGTGACGATGTGTTTCACTCTACTCAAACAAAACAAAGAGAGCCAACAAAAAAGCATTAACACAGCGAGAAATAGCTTGGAACTGAACGAGACTTCGAAGCAAAATAAAAAGCTAAAACATTTTCAAACTTTATCATTTCGTAATGACGATTGTTTATCAAGTACCCGCGAGAATTCCAAAAAGGCTTCCAAGACCAACAGCTCTTAATCAGCAACGATCCATTTTGGGCTGACTGATGAACAGTTTTGCTCATAGTGTGTGAAAATGTAACTTTCCAATTGATACCAGAGTCCTATTGATCTTTTAAAAATATATTTTTTACATAAGTAGGGTCTAAATTGTATAGAATGTTGCAGGTGTGTCGGCGTATCAAACGTCTAGTCCATGTATGGCAGAGAGAGATACAGAAAAAAGAAAGATACAGTTCAGAAGGTCATTTTTACCATCACCCATCAAAATTCTTCCATCTTAACCATCTTGATATAAGTATTCATATAACCTTAGAGCATGCATCAGAATAACAATGAGTATGTATCTAGCTTGATTATTATTGTTTATATTTCTGTTCATGTTTATTATGCATGTGACTGTAAGGCTGTGTTTGTGAGGATGTTTGTTTTTGTGTGTGTGTGTGTGTGTGTGTGTGTGTGTGTGTGTGTGTGTGTGTGTGTTTACGTGGTGAAACACCAAACCAATGTGCCAGAATCCGAATAATAAAGATGTATCTTATCTTTTCTTATCTATATTCGTGCAACGTAAGGTTAAATCAGGGAAGAGACTGCATTCTAGTGCATTTAAGGGGATGTGCAGATGAGGTGAAATTTTTAAACCAAGCAATCTCACTTTCCGAGCCAAGACGACCCTGTTCTACTTTAAAATTCCTTGAGAAGCTTACCTTTCAAACAGTTATTTATCAAAAAGAGTTTAGCTAAAAGTCTCAAAATAACATGCGAGGTTTGTGTGAATGTGTGTATATATATATATATATATATATATATATATATATATATATATATATATATATATATATATATATATATATATATATGTGTGTGTGTGTGTGTGTGTGTGAGAGAGAGAGAGAGAGAGAGAGAGAGAGAGAGAGAGAGAGAGAGAGAGAGAGAGAGAGAGAGAGAAAATAAAAGAGAAAGAAAGAAAAAAAAGAAACAGAGAGAAGAAAGAGAGAGAGAAAGAGAACGAAGGGAGAGAAGAGAGAAGGGAGTGTTTTAGAACTAATGAATTAGTGCACAAATCTCTTTATTTGTAGAAACAAAATCCTCAAACTTAATTAAGCATCATCTTGATAAAATTGCCATGACTTTGGGGATTGAGCTATTGGTAAAACCCAAGCAGGCCGGCTTCTCAACAAATATTGGTGATCACATTTTTCACAAAATATGAGCATTACAACACAACCCGCCCCGCCCCTAATAAAAACAAAACAAAAAAAGACAAAATATGAACAAAAACAAGAAGCACAGACAATCCCCCCCTCCCCCGAAAAAAGAAAAAAAAAACCAATGCCAGAACCTTTATGGTCATGGTGTTCCACGCGATGATCAAAGAATGTTGTCCCAGCCAAAGAACACTTAATCTACATTACTCAATCAAACTTGTATTTACTCTCACTCTTTTTTGAGGATCCCATTGCTTAAGACCACATTCTTCATACAATAGTAATGGATGTTGATCACGCAAAACGAACACAACAAAACTATGTTTGTTGCCAGACCCTTCACTCTAGAGCGTAAGGGAAAATACAAAGACAAAGAAATGGACGGTTTTGTCCGCTGTGATCAATAATCCGAAGGTTTAAATTGAGTGCTCAATACCTCTGGATTTCCCGAATATTTCTCACCAGAACCATTATGCGTCACGACGCGCTGGAATCAGGCGCTCGTTAATTTTCTGGCACATAATAATAATGATGAAGATCAATTCTATAGCGCCCACTCCCGTGTAAACACAGCTATAAGTATAGTATAAATGCATAGTTATTGGTTTCATATAAAGCTTATTCTTTTTTTTTTCTTTCTTTTTTTTTTTTTTTGCTTTTGATTAAATAAAAATGTCCGCTTTTCTTAAACAGAAGTGCGGGGTCGCCTTGTGTTTGGGGTAAAATCAGTGAGAAAATGGCCCCCAAAATTTGGGGACTTCACAAGCTCATTATTTCTTTGGCAACTGCGAATATACTTTTTTAGGGCTTTTGATCAACATTTTCAGGTGAAATCCACACAAAAAAGTGATTCTGAGTGGACATAAAAGGAAGCAAGTCACCCCCTGCAAACCTCCCCCCTCCCCCTAAAAAAATCCATAATAATAGCCTAACGGGCGGGAAAGTGTCGGTTTCATCGATGTCATTATTTTGACGAGCGCTTAATCTTATCATGATGCCACACATATCCCTTGAGGGGTTTCAGTTGCTTCCGCACAAACAGTCTTCTGCATTCATAAAATATGTATCATGAAATGGAAATGAGAACTTTTGGTTGTCACGTATCCTTAACCTTCTTTTTTTCTGCCAAAATACCCCAACCCCACCCCTGCTCACCCACTTGACCCACCACACCAATTTCTTAGGCCTTTCTAATTCGTTCCACTTATATTATTCTCCTCAATACATGTAATGAGGCTATCCTTCAATTTTCGGGTTTTTAGGATCATATGTTTAGGGGTTATGGTTGTTTTTTGTTACAAACGCATCACTTTCTGTGTCCTGTGTCAACAATTAAGAAAAGTATGTGGACCATACGTGCTTGTTGGGCAAGATATCATTTCTCTAAACAAGACAGTGTTGGTTTTTCTTTGGGAGACCGAGGGCAATTACGGCAAAGGTTCCCTGAGCATTTGCCCTACGTCCCTAGAGTATTGGAGCCATATGCTAATCTTCTGTATGCTGTGACTAGTTTTCATTAAAACAATAACAACACATTTATATTCTGCAGATTAGACTAGAAATCCACGTCTGTGCCCAGGGACCTGGGATGTTGTCAAGAGTGTTCAAGTGTGAGCGGGGAGGGGGGGAGGGAACTAGGGATAACAGTGTTTTTAGTGTCTTATTAACAGTGCACTATTGTCTGCTCTCTCTCTCTCTCTCTCTCTCTCTCTCTCTCTCTCTCTCTCTCTCTCTACCTATCTCTCTCCCTCTCTCTCCCTCTGGGGTGTGCGCACGCGTGCGTGTGTTTACGCGTGAGAGAGAGAGAGCGTGTGTGTGAGTGTGTATGTGTGAGTATGTGTGTGTGCGTGTGTGTGTGTGCGTGTGTGTGTTTATTAAAAGATCGAGAGGTGTAGCTGACTCATTGTTTGATTGCATTTCCGTTGAAGGAACACAGCAAAAGCGGTAGCCAGATTAAAAAGGAAAAGAAATTCGAAATACGGCAAATATTGATGTGTTATATGATTGTGGCGAAGAGGCAAAATGGAAAAAAAGAAATAAAAAGGATCATTGTGCGGGGGTAAGTCGGAGGAAAGGGGGGGGGGCGGGGGCTAGACTGCATTATCTATTCTCGCAGCAGCCTTTCGAGAAAAATCAATAGCGATTTCTGGGAAAATGATAATATTATTATGATCACATGTAGCTGATCAAGTGTGAAGATAACGTTTCCAAAAGCAATATAGATAATTACAAGTTTGTGAAATAATATCAACAAGAACAACTTGAGGCATCTGCTTCATTAGTTACGGGCCAAAAAAACATGAAAATGAAAAAGACAAAATAACAGGTGTAAATGCTGCTTTTGTATAGAAAACAATCAAACGCCAAGTGATAGAGGTAACATCCATAAAAGTAACAAAATTATTGCTTTGCACGGGCTGGACGTTGGGTTTGTTTCATTTGCAAGCTTCAGTGGACAAGACATGAGAGAACGTGCACATACCCTTTTTTTAGGGGGGGGGGGGGATTTTGTTTCCTATAGTTTGAGTAACGCTCTTCTGAACAAAAAAGGCCACACTAAAGCAGAAAAAGCACGGAAGTACGTAATAACGGAGAGAGAGAAGACGAATCAAAATATTCTGTATCACACTACTGCTAGTCATTATGATGATAGGGTGCGTCTATTTTGTGTTGCATTAATACTGAAGGGATTCCATCTGTAAAAGTTGTGCAGCAAGCCTATTCATTTCCTGCAAACTTTCATTTGGGATAGGCGGTACAAGTTTAGAGCGACCACTTTCATTATACACTCCAGCGACCTGTGAACGAGTTCACAATCCCAAAAATGAAATGAAAGTTTCCCACTTAATTAAAATGGTTAAAATAAAGAGGGGGGGGGGGGGGGTGAGGGAGAGGGGGGGGGGGGGGCGGACAAGTTTGCGTTTGGGTAACAGGTCCACGCAAACGGTTTCCCAGATCGTACATAAAAAATCCAAAAATGGCGTCTGGCAATTGAAATTTGCACGGATACAGGTAAACTGTAATTTCTTCTACAGTCTCCTGCATGCTTTAGACTCATCTTAGTGAGTGGTTGGCAGGTGCACTGCTGTTGTTCGCTCCTTCTTTCCTATCAAACAGCTATAGTTATTATCTCTCCTCCTTCTTTCTTGTGTTTGTTACTCTTTTATAACTCCTCAAATCTTCGGCCCTTGTATGACATAATTGTGTCGCAAATGCCGTAAATCATATATGGAAGCAAGAAATACTCACCGCCATGAGAAGCTCGTGGATACACTCAGCCTGGGCTATCACAACAACGTCCTTGGTGTTTGTGTTGGCAGCCAGGTTAGTCACGTGACTTGAACTGCTACAGTTGTACAAAGGAAGCGTAATCTCAAAAATGGGCTTTTTGTGCAATTTCCTGTGTTGCAGTAAAAAGTAATCTGCAAAAAAGTAAATATTGTGTTGAGTTACAATTTTCTGGATGGAAGTAAGAAAGTTGAGTTTTATTTTATTTAGGAAATTAACAAAACAAAACTGTTTGTTCGTTATTACAAAAAGTTTCAAGACCAATAAATTTCAGTGCAAGAGGTCAGTCTTGAAAGGGAATCTTCTCCCTTCCAGACTGTGGGCTGTGTATTAAGAAATATCGATCTGTTAAGACCAAATGATAAGAGTCATTGTGCAAAAGCTGGAAAGTCTATGCTTGACAGTTTAGGAAATATTTGACAATAAGTTGGGCTTCGAATTTATTACCGCAACATAATTACTCAGCATCAAGACAACCTCACATATATGGAGAAGGATATTATTTCGTTTTGGTTAACTTCTCACACTCAGCATGCATTAACATATCATCACATGCCTTTGGTTTCCTCTGTGTTAGCTAAATAACGCAATTCGCTTTTGGAACATTCCTTTCAGTTTCGCCCCTTGTCTTGCAATTCTTGCTATTTTGTACACAAATCGTGACACTGGCAGAGAATTAGAAAACGATCTTTCGGGCAACTCATTCAATATAAAGAAATGAAATGACAGATTGAATGAGAGCTTGATTCCACGAATCACTTCCCCAGATTGGAAAATGTGATATTCGTATTTCTTTAAGGCTTCCAAAGCACTAAAGCACTACAGAACTCAGTAATCCGAGATTTTCATTTATTTAAAGCATTTTCACGATTTGCTGATACGCTTCTGTTTTGTTTTAGAAAAAAGATTATGTGAATTATTTTCCTATCACCATCTGTCTTATCACATGCAAATTCAAAAAAAGACAGTTAATTAATGTATTATTCTTACATTTCGTCACTTTGAGAATACATGCCGTATTCGGGGGGGGGGGGGGGGGAATTTTTGCTGGTAAACGAATTCTGATTGGCATTTAACACTATCGTCTCATCAATCACAACGCGGGTTATTTCAAAAGCGTTTTTCAAAGTAGCTCATCCTCAAATGGGGACATTCAGCTGAACATAATATTTTATTCCAGTCAAGAAAGATAAACGTCTGACATCTTTTTTGTGATCATATATGATCTACCGTAATCAGATGACAAATCAGTGTTTTCACAATCCTATAATTTGATTTTGGTACATCCAGTGGACGAACGATTTGATACAAGCAAAGGTGAAAGAACGTATTATTCAAAATACTTCATGATTTTTTAAAATATAATTAAAGCTTGGATTTATCTTCTAGGCCCCAAAAACAATTCTCATATTCAACACGCTTCAGGCGCAACACGGTAATACACATAACTATCAAAGTAGGGCTGTGTAATTTTGTTCTTTTAAAATCAAGAGCAAAAAGCCTACCATGCCATTAATTAGCGGCAACCTGTGTCAGTGGAAAGTTTAAAGATGAGCAGCAGACTCTATTATGTACGTCGGTTCGTGTAACAAGAGACACATAATAATATCTGGACTGTTATGCAAGCCGAGGTTATCAACCGCTGATGTGTCTCGCCATGAGGTGGGAAACAAGACAGAAATAGTTTAATAGTGCTTTCGACTGCCGACTACATAAGTGTTGAATTCTAGATCAAGTCTTTACACTTACTGTAATTATCTTCTTTTTTTTTCAGTCCTTATATTTTTGGCTCAAGGCAAATCGAAGAAAATATTGCCTTTTCTCTTGCATCTGTAAGCATTGCAGTTTTATTAGACAGCATGTTAAGTAAATAAATAATGTTGTTTTTTGTTTGGAGTTTCCCTCCGTTGCAGTTTTATTTTCGAACAGCTTGTTCACCTTTGTCAGTTCCCGTTTAAAAAAAAAAAAAAATTTCGTGTATGTATTCATGTCCCATTGCTCACCTAACTTTGCGAGGCACTACTGTAGGCCAGCGACCAAACAATAGATTTGTTAAGACCTCGAGCCAATATTTTTTCCGTTTCTTTATTTGGCCCGTCTACTACTCATTGCCGTTTGGATGCATACACATGGCCACTACGAGAAATGATTCAAAGAGCCTTGCCTACACACTTCTCAGTTTGAGTCAATGATACCACCCTGCCCCCATCATTGTAAGCCTATACTATTTCCTCCTAAGATCGCCAAGACGTCTCCACGTAACTCAAAAGGTACTCACTCTGTTGGACCGTATTTCATAAGCATGCGTTAAAGATTAGTGTTGATGTAAATAGATCGATATTTTGATGGTCTGGGTGTATGCTGTAAATTGTCCCTCTTTTTTGGAAACGTTTTATGCTAACATCAAAGAAAACGTGTTGGAACCGAAGTTTGCTGTGGTCTGCATTAAAGGGCTTTTGGAGTCTGTTCGTCATATCACTTTTAGATTTGCAAAGATCTCAAGAGATAAAAACCAGCGATTATTTGTATCTTATTTTAACTGCAGTCAGACGAATCTGAACAAGCTTAGTAAGGGTATCAATCCCAAATTACACGAATATGAGATGAACAACATTCTGAATTATCCAGCTATTACGCGTGGGCTCACGACGAGGAAAGACTGCTGAGCATCAAGCACGTTCACTTTCTATAGAAATAATTTAGACACTAATCAATACATCTGTTCAAACAACGTGACCAACTTATTTACTCGTCACAATGCAGTATTATTTTTAATAGAAAACTGTTGGTTTTTTATATGAGTAGTGGTTGATTTTAAAACTTTCGATGCAAACACCCCCCTCCGTTTGACAAAGGATACCCGTATAACTATAAATGAAATATTGCAAGCAAAAATTTGAGTTTTCCTGCTTCCCCTGCCTCATGTTATTGGGCAAGCAAGCTACTTTCCCTTGCCATACCTGTGAAGGACAATTGCACGTCGTCGATGATATAAAGGTTTCAAAAGGAATGTGAGCTCTCAGTTCGGGCTAATGATGACACTCGGGGGCTATTATGTCCACCAACATTGAAAACAAATTCAAACACGAAAATGAGAGAGATGGTGGAGGGACGATTACCTCTAAGATCAAATTTGCCTTCTTCAAATACAAGATGGTACCGGTCCTAACACCCTAATAGCCATCAACTATGCTTAATGAATCATCAGTCAAAGGAAGGACTGTAAACACGCTGACACTATTTACAGAAATATACCATTCCTCTTCCAAACCAGAAGAGTACAGCAACGTTTGAGGGGTTTTTTTCTATTAGTACTAAAACTAATTTCTAAGAGGCTGTAAAAGTGGGACCTTTTCTTCCCACGTCTGGTTATCACGAGATCAAGTGTCAACATGTGTGTTAGTACTTGGGAACCCAGTTAGTTCAGATGATACCATACTAGGTGGCGCTAATGAATAACTTAAGATGTTGATCCAGGTCATTTTCTGGGCTGCTGCTGGCGTGCTTGCTGTGAATTTAAAGGGAAAACAATAGCACATCTGTGTCTGTGTGTACAGGTGTGTGTGCTCGTGCGTGTGTGCGTGCGCGCGTGTGTGTATGTGTGTTTGTGTGTGTGTGTGTGTGTGTGTGTGTGTGTGTGTGTGTGTGTGTGTGTGTGTGTGAGTGTGTGTGTGTATGCGAGTTTTCATTTGTGAGAATTGTCTTCAAATAGAATAATAATATAATCATGTAACCAACTTTTATTTAGCTCACCTTTGATGTCTATTCACAATACATGTGTAAAACGTATTTCCCCAAGAAGAAAGTTCTGGTTTTTTTCCTTTGTTCTTCACTTTATGTCTTTCAACTTTGCATCTTCAAAACACATAGTTGGCAGAAGAGAATTCATGTGACTTGTTTCTATTTATAAACATATTATTACCAGGTAATATTTCACGATCAACAAAGGGGGAGCTCAACTTCTCATGATAAAAAAGACTGCGCTTCGTGGTAAAAAGAAAACAAAAGTTCAAAGCTGCCTCAGTTTTGAGCAATACAGAATTATGATTTTATATTAAGTTTGCTTTTTTCTAGCCTCGATGTGGATTTTAATGTAGAAGACAACCCCTAACCAAAGATTCTCCATTACAGGAGAATCTTTGCCCTTACCAAGAGCAGTACGGTGCGGTATTATTTATAGTTGTATTTTAAACTGGTAAAATGCATAATTTAAACCAATCTTCATTTTCGCAATCAAAATAATAGCAAATAAAATCACGTGCTACTTCATTCCCCGTACTCGAATCATCGGTTATGAGCTATTAGAAATATTTTTGTGGAATATTAAAACGGTTTATCATACTTTACGTATCTCTGTCAGTGTTATGATTAAGCCTTATATTGAATCAATTCAATCATGTAGTGCCAAGTTTAGATCTATAATCACCTATTATATCAGGTGATTTAAGAGACACCAAGTCGATAAAGATGTCTAATCTCGCAGCTCTTTAAAATTTTTCACACAACAATGAACTAACCTTGGCATTTTCTAAGAATAAATAATGATATCCAATTACGACACAAGTGTCGCTCAGGTGTTCATCAGATCGACTCGCCCTTCTGGAAGTGGATCCTTTCCGCTGGGACACTTTGCCGTAGATAATCACTTCTCAAACTTTTGAACACGTTGATCATTGGCAATATTGATAAGTAGAGAGCTGAACGAATTTTTCATTGCTTTACGTCAATAAACTTCTCTCCTGGAATTGATTTATGTTCAGTGTACGACAGACAACCCTGTATTAATGAGGCTTCAGGAGTTCATTTACAAATTATGAAACACGACTTTTTCAACGTGTCCTACCCCATCTCCCCAGCACACACCCATACTCACACTCACACACACACACACACACACACACACACACACACACACACACACACACACACACACACACACACACACACATACACACACAGAACAAACATACACACGCACATACACATACACACACATATATACGACAAGTGCAATACACTCACACACACACAAACACACACACACACACACACCCACACACACACACACACACACACACACACATACGCACCAGTACAACACACTTACATACACACACACACACACACACACACACACTCACTCACTCACACAAACACACAGAAATAGGTGCTACGCACCCAGAAACACACACAAAGACACACACAGACACCCACACAAACACACACACAAGTGCAACACACACATACACACACGCACACACACACACACACACACACACACACACACACACACACACATACACACACGCACGCAAATAAACACAGGGTATGTGGACAATCTAGAATTTTTAATTTTCAAATTCGTCAAAAACCGAAAACACTTTAAAAGGAAAGCTTTCCAAAGAGCCTATCATATCCGGAATTAACAGATAGTAATATGCAAAGTATGATTATGGTTTTCATTCCGTGACAACCCAATACCTGAGTGATCAAACACTATCAAAACTACCAAATTTGCTCGTTTTTTGGAGTACACTATCTGCAACAAAAACGTGGCCTTTTGTTTTTATGTTGTTGATATAATATATTTTCTTCCTATAATATTGGTTAATTCGAAGAAGAAACATTTTTTCGGCCTTCAAAACACTAGACCAGGATCATTTATTTCCAGAATGATTGGGAAAAAAAGGGGTGGGGGGCAAGAGAGAGGTTAGAGGGATAAGAGCTGATAAGTTTAACGCCAAAATTGTCCTTTAAAAAAGTATGATTCACACCCTAATGAGTCTCAAAACCAGGCTAAATAACTGTTTTTCCATTTACATAATTTAAAAACGATGAAAGAGGAAGATGCAAGGTTTGTATTGTAACAAAGTATGAGTCGGCCACCAACCTTCCCCTGTCTCATCAAACAGCAGGGCAAATCCCTCGCGGTCCTGCTTGGTGGCCGCACTGTCCCACGACACCAGAAACTCCGACAGGAAGTCTAGAAGCTGGAGAGCCTGGGTCGTGACCTCCACCTTTGCCCCCTGGGTCTCCTGGCTTAGGTGAGGACATTTCTTGAGGGACCTCGTGACGTAAGCAAGCAGACGTTTCGGGAAGATGTCAAATGGGCAGACGTGATGACGTAAGTCGATGAAGATGAGTGGTTTAGGACTGGTCAGGTAAACTGGAAAATACGCAAGAGTTTCTTTAACAAATGTAATGTCGTGATAGGTGTCGTGATTGGTAAAAAGTAGTCTTTAGAAAGGCACGATTTGTGTCCCCTTAATGTAGAAAGAGAAAAAAAGGAAAGCAAATCAGGATCGAACCTGCAGTTTTCGTCATTGCAACAAGTTTGTAACTTTCTAGGCGTCTCTTTTACGGGGCATAAATATAAAAAACAATCCGGGTAAACAGTGAGCTGAAAAAAAGATTGTTGTTGTTGCTGTTATTGTTGTTGCTTTAGAAGATATAAAAAATAATCGTTCGATGGGAAAAGAAAAGTTTTCACGTCTGTTTTTTTCTTTCACTAATATCACAAAGAAAAAAATACTTCAAAGGAATAAAGGAGACTGTTTTGTTGTCCCTTTTCAAATGGTCTTCTGACAAGAATAGTGCCATATGCAGTAAATACCTACAGATGAGACAAAAATAATACAGGTATTCATTCAAAAACTTAATCAACAAATCTATCCACACAAACAGCCCCCTACAAGTCACGTTTTAAAAGTCCTCTAAATGAAAATTAACGCGTCTTGCTCACGAACTTAATGTCCACGCATTTACTCACTTTCGTTGCTTTCAATTTACATGAGAGTTTGATGTAGTCCTGTTCCTTTACCATTGTACCACCGGAAATAGCTCTTGTAAGAACGTTCTCGACACTGTTACAGAACGTCTGATCATTTCGGTTTTTGTCTGTTATTGCTGACAATGTAGTCATTTTTATTGCAGTTAGCCTATAAGAGTGGATAAAACCAAACTTTAAAACTTTATCATATGAGAGGACACCAGTAGAAATATCAGATAAAATATACTCTTTAAGAATGTAGGTCAACTGGACGAAAGAAGACTTGAAAGAGCATGAGAAAGTATGTGCTGAATAAATGATCAGCCCATGTCATACATTCAGGACAATGGCTCTCTATCAACGATGGTAATGTGACTAAGACTCGATAACGCACGACCTTTTTGCCGTTATGACCACGAATTACAGGGGAGAATTTCACTGCAGGGCGCATTCAGGACTTTCCTTTATGTCCATTTTCCCTGTAGAAATCAATAAACCGCCAAACGTATTGGTATTGTCGTCATATGACGTATGAATGAGTTGACCGCCTCATCGAGATTCAATATAAAACTATACAATAGGCCAACAGTAGTAATCGGCTCAACATCTGGGGTTCTTCTCAGCCTACTCTTGGGAGTGGTAAAAAAAAAGACCACATCGCGAGCGGAAACGTCCCAAAGTTGCGGTCATACCAGAATTGCTGTTTCAGATTTCCAGTTATTGGTGAGCTAGAAATGCTTGCTCTTTGTTTTGTATCCTCAGTGCAACAGGAGACAAATTTCACTTTTGCCCAAGCCAATAGGAAAACATAGATAAGCACTGTTGGTTTAATTTTTTTTTTACTATGACTATAGGTAACTGCGCTATGTCAATACCGTAATGATAGATTGGTTTTCATTAGTGAAACAGAAACTAAATCCATAATTCGGGTCTACTAAACTAATCACTGAACGTTGATCAAATAAAGTTTTTGTGAACTTATTGCAACTTCTTAAATCTGAAAATTTACACAGAAAAAAAATGACCCAGATCAATTTTGCACCGATGAACCTCGGGTGCCGGAAACATGAGAGTTATGTACAGCGATCGATGAGTAATATAGGAAATGCACCATGCATGTTGGTAAAACACGCCAGATCAATTTTCTACGAAACGGAGAAAATATGGAAAACAAAGCCTATTCACTGAAAAGGCTGTGCTCTCGTCGTCTAGAGGTGCAGTGTTCCCTGTCACGGAAACTGTCCCGAGATTGAATCCTGACATAGACGCAAAATGTTTTGTGTGTGTGTGGTTTTTAAAAATAATTTTCCCCTTTCATTTCCTTTCCTGTTCTCTCGTCCTGTTCTGCTTTCGTCTCCACTTTCTCAACCCCTCCCCACCCCAGACCTCCTCTCGGTGCCTCTATACCTTTCCCCGGACCTTTTCCACTGCTTTTCCTGGCTCCTTCTTACTGCTGTCTTTCAGCCACACCCCTAATTTTAGTGTACGTAAGATCGAACACCTGGCCTTCTTGGATAAGGGCGAAAAAACCCGACGTCCGGTGTGCAAATTGAGCGCATAAAAGATCTTTTGGTGGACCTAAAATCAATAAGACTAGACATCGGCTGCCACATAGAAAAACAATTTTCCTACCATAGCTAAAAACACTTTATGCATTATAAAAGCTTAAAGGCAAGGGGCCCAACAAAATAGGAAAAACGGTCACACGAAAAAATCAGTAGCACTGCCGGTTGAATAACAAGGAGTCAACTACTCCTGAGACCTAGCAGGTGAACACAGAGAAGTAGAAATTTCACTGAAATTAAAAATGTGAACGACGTACAATTTTGTCAACTTAAATATCGAGGACATTGTGAGAAAAGAAAATTCTAACGTAGATTGTCTGTTTAATTTTTGTACGTTGAGGATTTTTTCTCCTTTTTTTTTCTTTTTTTTTTTTGTTTATTTGGTTGCTTTTTTTAACTTTAAGTTTTGGAGTTTTCCCCCTTTCTTAAATCTTGCATTGTAACCTGCTACTCAGTAGTGGAACAATTTTATACATAGCAGTTCAAAGGATCTACACTACATCTAGTTTGCCTTCAAAATTTCAATCAATAACAACAACAATAAAAGCAATGATAATAATAATAAGAAGAAGAAGAAGAAGAAGAAGAAGAAGAAGAAGAAGAAGAAGAAGAAGAAGAGGAAAAGGAAGAAGAAGAAGAAGAAGAAGAAGAAGAAGAAGAAGAAGAAATAATGATGATGATGATGATGATGATGATCAATGTTGAAAACGCCATCTCAAGCAAGTAGGTTCAAATTAGTGTGTGAAGCCAGGCGCGATAGATACACATTTGCGTTATTATATTATTATTATTATCATAAACCCTATGGAGGCCTATAGAGATAGTTATAGTCCCCTGCCTTTCAAAAGTGGGTAACCTATGTGCACCGGTTTCCACTTCCACTGATGGGTTGTGGCAACTCCCACCCGCTGCCTGCACATACATACATACATACAAAAAGTGGGTAACCTATGTGCACCGGTTTCCACTTCCACTGATGGGTTGTGGCAACTCCCACCCGCTGCCTGCCGGGTAGGGTTCCAATTTTTTCATGGTGGACAGATTGCTTTCTGTAAACCGTAGGCCCATTTTATCCAATAGAAAAAAAATAATCAGAGAACCTTATAGTTGTATGCAGTTTGAGAGTGGTGAAAGGAGATCGGCACGATAAACTTGGTTTCGGATGGGGATAAAAAGCTGTAAAAACGTCGGTCGCTTAGTGGTTAGGCTACGGGACTCGTAATCGTGAGGTTGCGGGTTCGGGGTTCATGCCACGGATCCGACGTCGTGTCATTGGGAAAGGCACTTTACACGATTTTTCCTCATTTCACCAAGGTGGGAATGGGTACCAGGCCATAGACAGTGAAAGATCTTGTTAGCATGTTAGTGTTTTAGCTCCTATAAATGACTGTTTGCACTGTATGCTTGTCAGGAAGATGAAGTTGTTTCAGAATGCTCATAGGTTTGCTGGGGTAATAGTATAGAGTGTGAAGCGCATAGAGTTTGCTGTTGAGCGAGGATTTGCCTAAACAAACGCTATATATTATTGCATTTTTCAAAAGGGTATAAACAGTGGTGGTTTTTTTCGTTATCTCTCACGCATCCATCTAACTTGATTTCATCGACTAATCTTATCTTTCTGTGAAAAATGCCAGTCTACCAGCGATCTTCTGCGATCACAGCTTTTTTCTTTCCAGAGTACTTTTCCCCCTCTTCATTTGGAACCTGACAATAAATCACGCGCAGCCATCTTTTCACTGTGATTGGTTTGTTTTCTGTAAATCGAGGGCCAGCTTTAGCTAGCAGGAAAACATAAAACCTGATTAGTATATATTTGCCTAATTATTGTTGCTTTAATGATTTACTGAGACAGTTGACTACAGGCTCCACTGACCATAACATGTTGCTGAGGATACAAGCTGACTGAAATGATTCTGCCTTCTTTGATTTCCTCCAAATATTTTTTAAAACCTGGAATAAAACAATAAAATTGCCAACAGATAATATTTGTTATCATGCCAGCAGACACTTGTTACTTTTTATTGCTGTTTTCTTAGAAACCCCGAAGAAAAAAACAACATAAGGTTGACCGTAAATCTGAGCACTAAACATTTTACCGTCTCTGTAGAACGTAATAAGATCTTTTTCGTGAATCACGTGATCCACTCGAATTGTCTCATTAGCAATGATGTCATCCAACTGATAAGACTGTTCTGGCTCTGACCAAGGTAGGATGGTTGATCTTGGTTGAATGAGGACTGAAAAATAGAAAGAAAAGAAAAACTTCTAATTTAAAAGGAAGAATTAAGTGAATGTCACACATACGATGGATAAAAACTTCTAGTCTAAAATGGAACGTTTTGTGAATTCTCAAACGGGGCTTAAAAAAAAATCTACGGTTTAAAAAATCGTAATTAATATTATGAGACCAAAGTTTGAGTACTCAAGGAATCAAAAAGGACTTTTAGTGGGGGGGTTTAAATTTGAAAATATTACAGTTCTACCCCTAGAAACAACAGAGTTCAGCTTAGTAATCCTAGTATTCTCGGATCGGTAAACACAAGCACTTAGGGCTTTTAGTGGTGGTGGTGGAGGTGCTCATATCAGCCTAAGGGGCCTCTGAGGTTGATATACAAAGATCCGACGCTTACTTCGATTGGCAGCCGCTCTGGAACACTGTCCCAATGATTATGCTGTTCAAAAATTTATGTTGCCAGCCCAAAGTAGTCTCTGCCTTCAGTCTATCCGTCCCTTCTGGCTTGCCTCTACTATTTCTTTTTTAACAGTATTGTATCTCTTTATGTGGTCGAGATATTGAAGGGTTTTTTTTAGATTCCATTTTGTTTAGAAACTCTTGTGATATTTTTAATATTTACCAGACTTCTTCCTTGGTTTTCTTGTCTGTCCATCTGATCAATGATCTCGCCTATTCTCCTATAGTACCACATTTCAAAGTCAATAAATTTATTTTCAAGGTCGTTGCCTACAGTCCATGCTTCTGATCCGTACATGCTTAGGCATATCAGGGAACAGATAAAAGATAGTTTCATGTGCCCGGTATGCTTGATTAGGATACTTTAACAACTGAAAACAAGCCGTTAGTCGGCAAACCAAGGCGGTGTCAGATCGAAAGACAATATTAAGAGTGCCATTGAGCAATGCGTGTCTTTGTGTGTTATACAAAGGACTTGTCTCTCTGGTTAAAACAAACGAGTATGCCGATGGAAAAGATCCTATATTTGGTTCCCCCCCCCCCCCCCCCGGAGATTTTACACGGAAAACGAAGTACTACGTCCCCAGATAGGAAAATGTATTGAAAGTAAATGCAATAGAAGCTACGATAAAAGTGCAGATGTTCGAGAGTTAAGATGGAAGTTCAGGCATAGGGCATCGAAAACTTTTAACCAATTTTAGAAAATCTTTGTGCTTGGAGCAAAGCCCAGCAATCGTGTAATGGATTATACTTTCATTGAGCTATCATGATAAAAAAGGGTATATAGAGTCTAGTTGTAAGTTACCTTGGACCCTTTTTTTTACTCAAATGTACAGACACGTTTATCATTCTATAGAATTTCTCGTGCGAATTCAAACGAATAAAGCTTAATGACTTTTTTAATCCCGTGATCTTACACAATAGCTTTGAATACTCGAGGGAGCAGCGAAAATAAATTTACGAGAATGTGCAGTAGGCGTATTATTTTGAACATATACAGAAGGTAAGTGAATAAGTTCCGTTTAATCAAACAGTGTTAGTTTTTTAAGAGGTTAAAACCTCCGAATTTAACTCCCGTATCCTACTGGACCGAGGCAAGCAGGTTCAGAGCCTTGAAAGCTTCACAAATTGACTCAAGTTCAAGAATATCTATCACAGGTTTCGAACAAAGGCCGTACATTCCGAAGTCTAGTCCGATACCAATTGAGTGAAAAGAGCTCCTCGCAGAATCGCAGAATGTGAAAAACAATCGAATTAGAAAGAAATCAGAGATCAGGAACCATAGGACGCCATAACACTGCAAAGTCAATCCCCCTCCCCTTCCCCACCCCATTTTTCCATCATTAATTTTCGGACGGATTCTAAAACTCAAGTAGAGTCAAATTATTCAGCATCAACAAAATTGCACAGTTTGCACTCAACGAAGCTCGCACAACAGAGAACACAATTTACCTGTAATAACAGACGAATCGACGAGATGGAGACACAGATAAAGAGGAATTAACAGCCTGCCCATTTTGTCGATGGCGCGCCGGTTGATCAACATCTGCTGCTCCCTTCACACCGACAGCGTAATCAAGTGCAACTGTGCAGGGATATGATTGAGATAGAGATAGTATTAGATGTGAAAACTACGTCTCGCTCTGTTTACAGTATTCACAAACATTTACACAAACAGATATAACCACATGTACTCATATCCACAAACTGAATGCAAACACAGTCTGCGTGTACATAATTGCTTCAGAATTGTTCTTAAATACCTTCGGGGACACCATTTTAACTACCCTAACATCTCTTGCCCCACCAAACACAAACACATCACAAACACACACTAACACACACACACGCACACACACACACACACACACTCACACACATAGGCACGCACGCACGCACGCACGCACGCACGCACGCACGCACGCACGCTCATACATACATACATACATACATACATACATACATACATACATACATACATACATACATACATACATACATACATACATACATACATACATACATACATACATACATACATACATACATACATACATACATGCATACATACATGCATACATACATACATGCATACATACATACATACATACATACATACATACATACATACATACATACATACATACATACATACATACATACATACATACATACATACATACATACATACATACATACATACATACATACATACATACATACATACATACATACATACACTCTGACACGCGCTTGCACACAACTCAATGTTAAATATTTTGAAAAGATAATATTTTAAAAGAAGAAACACTTCTACAGGAGGTTCTCGTGGTCGAGTGGTTAAGATGTTCTCCTCTCATTCAATAGGTCCCGGGTTCGAATCGGGAGAGCGACGAAAAAATTTTCTTCACTGAAAGGTTCTCCTTTCAACTCCTTTCCTGCTCCTTAACATTGTTCAGGTCGTCTGATTTCGTCTCCACTTTCTGCTCCCACCCCCTCACCTCCTGTGTCCCCTCATCTAGGCTCCTGACTCTTTCTGTAGCCTTTCTACTGTTACTCCTTGACTCCTTCTTACTGCTGTCTTCCAGCCACATCCCTATCTAATGGTAGGTAAGATCGAACGCCTAGCCTTCTCGGAAAGGGTGAAAAATCTCAGAGGTCCTGTGTGCAAGTTGCACTCGTTAAATATCGCTTGGTGGTCCAAAATCGATAAGAGTAGGCTCTGGGCAAAGTTCTAAATTTCCTACCGTCTGAAAATGTTTATTATGTGTCCCATCCCCTAATAGAACCTTATGCAGTTGCGAGCGCAGTTTAAAAAAAACACTTACAAAAGAAAACACTTTCACATTGGTCCTACCGTCACATCAACCAGAAACCACATCCCCCTATCCTTTGTTCTCCCTATTTTATCTCTTTCCACTTCTTTCTCCCCTCCCCCCCCCCCCCCCGTTCCCCCGTCTGTCCCTCTCTATTTCTTTCTCATTCTTATATTTCGTTCTCAAAACAGGAATCCCCTTTATCAACTCTCCAGTACACAAATCTGTGACCCGTTAGTGTGAATACACACACAAACACAAATGCACAGAAACTAATCAAAACCAAAAGGCGGGTAGCAATCTCATTACTCAACTACTGGATTAAATCCAGATTTATCGATGTTAGCAAATTCATTCAAATAAGCAAAGTCACAATTTTGTATCATTTAACTTTCGAAAAGGAAAAAATAAGCAAGCGGCATAGCAATTTCCTTGTAAAAAGAAATCTCTCTTGCTTATTCAATCTGTCCTTCTTCATCCACAACCATGACCTTAGGGTAGGTAAAACTAGGAACTAGTCTTCTCAGACCTCCCATGTATGTTGCACACCTTAATTATCCGCTGATGGTTAAAATTGTACAAGAGGTGGCCATTACGTCGCCACGAGAGGAACATTTAAAATGTAAAAGATCTCTACCACTAATAAATACCACTAGTCATATCTGCGAAATAGTAAAGACACCTCTTATGGCTTCATTGATTCGAAAAGTATTGACGATGTCTCTCCTTTGGAACAATGGGAAAATTAAGAACAGGTGGAAGGGGAGTATTACTTTGGCAATATACTTCATTTTCTTCTACCATGCAGGCAAAGCATACTGCTTTAAGATCGTCACTCAAGATGCACAAGACCATTCTACTAACATAGTAACTATGTCTTCGTTTCACAAGTTTAAAATCAGTTTATCTGACATTTTCATTTGCGGGGAAAATACCAAAGCGCTTCAAACGTATCGAGAAAATACAAATTCTAACAGAAATTGTAAATTGAGTCTTGATAGTTACTGCAGGATATCAATTTTAATGCAATCTAAAGATAAGTTTAAAAAATCAAGTGAAAAAACGATTATCAACAAAAAGCCCATGAGACTACTCATTGTTGACAAAGCAATCAAAGATCACAATAAAAAAAGGAAGTATAGGAGTAAAATAATTTACTACTTAATGTTACCAACAGTAAATATGCAAAAACTCTACAACTAGTTATTTTAGACTAACTGACCTGAGCATTCATGAACATTCCCACTTTTATTTGTTAATAATTTCGAAATCAGAAAACACATAAATGGAAGCACTATTGCTCACCTTGCGCTCCATAAAAATCGAAGCGTTCAAACTGATCGTTCCAAGCAAAAAACTCTCGCTGTCTCTGCTGTTGGAGTTAGTTTCCTGTATTGGGACAACTACGAAGTATAGATCCATCCCCTCAGCCTCCCCCCTCGCATCATCGAGGGGATTTCAATCAAAGCGTTCGATCGTGCAGCCAGTGACACGGTGCCTCGGTCGGCTTGCAAAAGGTTCCGCCCCTTGGGCTCAGCAAAGAGGGCAGCGCAAGCATGAAATAAAATGAGGAATTATAGTCCCCTACCAACTTGTTTTGCCTCCATTTTTCTTTACGTCGTGTCCACTGTATGAGCGTTTTAAATTTTGAGTGAACGGTGCTTTTGTTCCTGGAAGCAGGTGGGATACTCATACTCATAGAGCATCGTCTTCTGTTCCTCCCGACAACTCTAAATAGAAAAGTTAGTAATTCCTTACATTTGCTGTTGTTTGTTTTGTTCGTGGCTACAGTTAGTCAGATTGTTCAGAATAAATAGTAGATCTTCTTTTTCTTTTGAAACAGTTTGTCTTTGTTCGTTCTCTTGATTTTCTTAGCAGCACATAATAAGGTTATTTAAAAAAATCACCTTGAAACAAAGTCATTGAGCTTTTATGTTAGTATTATCTGTTTAAGCTGAAAAGAACTTCCAACTGCCAAACCATCTGAATATGACAAGTAGGTCACGCGTACTTAACATAATTGTAATGGCATGAAGCGAGTGAGTAGTTATAAGTAAAAGATATTTTGGAGAGTTTGCATGGCTCCTCCCTTATTTGGTTAAATCATATAGATGATGGACATAACTAGAAAATCCCACGTCCAAATTGATCTCTGTTTTGAAAGAGAAATCAACACCATCCCGAATAGATCTCTATCCTTTGAATTCCTTTCGTAGGAGCATTTGTTTTCTAGTAGCGATATATATTGTGGACAAAGGGAAAAATGAGAAAAAGAATTAAAGAGCAATGAAGGGGGAAAATGATGGACTAAGCGACATTAGGGTAAAAGTAATTTTTTTTACAGACTCTCTACTACCCTTTTGTTTATCGTGAATGTCCAAAAGGACCACATTCCTGCCAAACGTTTGTTGTCTTTGTTTTTTTTTGGGTTTTTTAAAAAGTATTTCTTTTAATTGGAATCTAATTACAACTAAGACATTAAATTGACATCAAATGTTTTATTTATATGGACTCATAACAACTGTTTAAGGAGTTTTTATTGTTATGTTAATATTTCTGTTGTGCGCAGAAAGGGTTGATAGCTAAAGCACTTTGAACTCTTGGAATGTGCGTACGTTGATACAAGTGGTTAGGCTTTCGGACTCATCATCGTGAGGTTGCAGGTTCCGAGGTTCGAGCCTCAAGCCCAAAGTTGTGTTCTTGGGAAAGGCACTTTACACTATTTTTGCTCACTTGTTTCCTCACCTGTAAAATGACAGTCAGCACTGTGTGCTTCCCAGGAACTTGATATTGATTCAAAAAGATATCAGTTCTGTTGGATTAAAAACACTATAGACTGTAATGCGTTTAGAGTTTGCTGTTGAGCGGGCCTTTGCGCTATACAAATGTTATTTATTTTTCAATATTACTACTCTAATGTATCGAAACCCCCCCCCCCCCCCCCGCCTGCGCTTGTTAATTTAATAATTTTTCAGATTTTTCTGCGCCCCTCCCCCCCTCCTTATTCCATACCCTCGTTTATTTTTTTCCAGCTTGCCACGAACGACGATCATGTGAAACTTTATATCTGGAATCTAGATATCTGAATTAAATTTCTTTTGTTGTTGTTGTAAATGGCAAATTACCCTCAGTATTAGTACTGGTACCGGGTTGGCTACCTCAATTTTCTGTGAATCTTTAAACTTTTGTTCACTGATTTATAATTTTTAGTAAAGCTGGTTTGTTCCTAAATAGGAAAAGTAGGCTCAGTAGCTTACTAAAATCACTGAATTTTCTTGATCTCTTGTTCTTTTATTCACTGAAGGAGAAATAAAACAGATTGTTCCTACTAGGAAAGAGGTATGAGGTTGAATGTGCCCTCCCCCTTTATTCCAAATCCCCCATTTATGAATTTTGAACCACTTGCCCACTCCCACCCTTCTTTTTAAATTCCTACCCCCCACCCCCGTTTATTCGATACCATAGAGTATTATCCAACGCCATCTCCTTTCAGCAAAAAAAGCTAATTTCAAGAGGAATCTGGGATTTGAAATTATTGTTAATGACTACTCTCAGCGGTCATCCACCATTACCCGCCCCCCCCCCCCCCAACACCCCCCCCCCCTCACACACCCAGCCCTTTCCCCATCCTTTTGCGGGTTCATGGGAGCGTACTTCCGGTCAAGACATCAGACATGGAACAGAACTTTACACAAACTTCAACTGTTTCTATTCAGCTTTGTATAACTTTACCCCTACCAGGAACTCCATCTGTGCAAGCACCAAACCTCGCTTTAGCCAAGCATGAAGTATAATCAGCATGGTTCAACAATGGCACGTCGGGACAAAGTCTTTTCCCAAAGCATAATTGATCTAGATTCTACCTTGTGCCGTGTGGGAAAAGTGTGTGTTGGATGGAAGGGGCGACTAAAAACATTTACCAATACGTCTGCAAAACATCAGACCACACTCGCAAACCACTGCTTCTTCAATTTTTACCTTTTTAGCAATCACCACAGTATAATTTTAAACAGAAGTCTGAATTTTCCCTTTTTTGGGGGGTTCATTTTCATCCTGTTTATATTGCAGGTTTTTAAAAAATTCTTTCGTTAGTCTATCCTTACTTCCTCGCCCCCCCCCCCCCCCCTTTTCAAATTCTTTAAATAAAAACTTAAGTTGCATTCTTGACGGACGTCTACTGGCATATTTACGAAAACGGTCGCTTTATATCATCTGTCTGACGATAACATTCAGAGGGTTTTTGTTTTCCTTCAGTACCATAACTTTTCTGCACTTGAAATACGGACTAAAACAGATAGAACGTAATAGGATGTTATTGCAAAGTAATTTAATGTTCCTTGGATGGCGTAATTAATCATCTCTATGACAATCATAGAGCTGACCAAACAATATTTGAAGTGACATTGGAAATTTGAACCCGTTTAACCCTACAAGATAAAATATTCTCAGCCAATTCCAGAAATGGAGCTGTGATTTTGGTGTTTTTTCAATTAGATTTTTGCTCATGGACTCTAATGATGTTTCGCTTCTTGGATTTGCTTTGTATCGCTTCCATTTCCATTAAGACCTGTGTGCATTTCATGTACGTGCATACAAAGCTTATAATTCCAGAAATTTTACCTTCCCCTGAATACTATTGAGATCATTTAGGATGCGGGCATCTTGACCCTACCTGTCAGGACCAAGCCCATGTAAGATGAAGTTACTTGATAACAATTTATCACCATACTGAAATTAGAGCTTACGCCTTCTCTATGCGATGGCAAAGTGCCTAACGGGTACACCGTATTATACACTGGTATGCCAAACTAGGTCAAGAACAGTTTTGATTTTAAAAAATGAAAAATGAAGAAGAAAAATGCTAACAGTGTGTAGATTTTCCAATATATTTCTATAACAATTTACGTTTACAGTAATAGTCGTTTCTCATTTTTTTTTCTCTTACTTTTTGTTCGACCTAGCCAAGCAGTCTTTCTCTGGAACAATCTGTTCTGCGCCACTATGGGCGTTAACCTTTAATAACCACATGTTTCTTTTTTCACTCCTCATAACTAGCGGTGTTCTGACCGACAACATAATAAACTTCTTTCTTTTTCTAATCACGCAGTGAAAACAGCTCGAGAACCGTCCCGGGGGGCAACATCGCTCTCGGTCACCTGTGATTGACTGAAATTAAAATTCTCGGAAAAGGTCTAGTTAATGTTTCCATTCTGAATTTTACTTGACCCACTTCATGCATTTGGGATCTCCACCTTCTGAGGCCAACATTGGTGTAGTCATAATATTACTCGTGAAAGACGATATGAAATTATTTTTTAAAAGAGAAACTTCAAATATACATTTTACTATTCCATTATCTACACCCTATGCCTACACGCTATATCTACACATATATCTACACAAAATAGATGAATTATAGGGAGGTGGTCACTTTGACCGTGGCTTAACGGGACACGGTATCCATGCAAAAATACTCAGACAGTAAAAATAGATTTTCACGGTTTGAATCGAATTCACGTCCTTGCGTGCAACGGTGAAGACACTGATCGTTACACCACAGATGCCTGGCTTGGCCTTGTTTTTGGATTTCTGGGGTCGATCTATCAACCCTCCAGGCTCTTGATCTGTGAACTTATATTATCAATTATGAACACAGGGGCTCAGCTTTCTTGAGCTACCTAAAGTACATTTATTTTCCTTTGGGAGTTTTTGGGCCTTTTTTTGTCATCTTCATTCTGTGTCTTCGGGGGTTTTTTTTTATAACAAAGAACATAACTGCTTAACATAAATAAAGGAAGGTTAAAAGGATGACCAAACAAAAACTAGGGTTATCCAGTGACAACAGCGAGCAGGGAAAAACCAATAGTCTCTGATGCAATCATGTATGACTACTGGCTGGTAATAAATGGGTTGAAGTGTGGGTAAGCTGTGGTGATAATAATAAATAATAAATAATAAATAGCATTTGTATAGCGCATACCTCCGCTCAACAGCAGGCTCTATGCGCTTTACACTATATTATTACCCCAGCAGACCATAGAACACTCCGAAACATTCTCAACTTCCCGGGAAGCATACAGTGCAAGCAGCTGATTAAGCGCTCAAACACTAACAAACTGACAAGATCTTTCACTGTCTATAGCCGGGTACCCATTCCCACCTGGGTGAAGGGAGGAAAATTCGTGTAAAGTGCCTTTCCTAAGGACACAACGTCGGGCCCCTGACGGGATTCGAACACGACCTTACGGTTGCAAGTACGAGAGCCTAACCACTAGGCCACCGACTTCAAACCAGAAAGTTGCGGGTTTGAATCCCTGTAGGTGCCCGACGTAATTTCCTCGGGCAAAGGCTTGGGAAAGATTTCCTCACTTCACCCAGGTAACAATGGATGTTCAGCTAAAACAATAAACGATCTCGTGAGCATGTTAGTGGTTAAGAGTTTATAAAAAGATACCTGCAGTGGATGTTTTCCAAGAAGCTGATAATGTCTGACGACGTCAAAAAGTCTTTCTGGGATACAATAAACCTTGCAACGCATAAAGCACCTTTAAAATGACCTACGCTTTCTATTGGCAACTATAATTCGTAAAT